TGCAAGAGGTGTACATGCATTCAACGTTACTAGAAAGTGTTGTGCTTTTACACTCCGACATCTGTAGCAGATCACGCAGCTTACATACTGTGTACAATACAACGCCAGTGGTTTTATGTGTTTGTAACGTGCCTCTGATGATGGTTTCTTTTGAACCGAAACATGTAAGGCGAGTGAAATAGATAAGTGACCTAAGAACGTTGTTACACTCGACGGATTATTCATTGACAATTTGTGATTGATAGTGTAACGGACCAAATATGAAACAATTCAAATCACTTCAGCCATTTTAATATTACTGTATTTTGTCAAGATCTTAGGCAACAATGTCCAGGCCTGTGTCTATGTTTCAGCAGTTGCTAATTGAAATGGGCAGTTTTTCAAATGATGTTAGATATTTATTATTTTTTTTAATTATTGTTAAGTATAATATATATTACTGTTCCTTTTAAAATTAAAACAAGGTTAGAAATTGTCTAAATTATAAAATATGATAGAAAAATGCATTTCACTTTGTTGCTTAATGCGTTACACACAGAGTCAAGGAAAGCCTAAATGCTGACCCCAGATACAAGATATTTCACAGCTGTGCCCTCACTCTCAACTAAAAGGGATCACTTTCCTCAGACTTTCATCACAGTCACACAAAATTTCGAGGCATTGTAAAGAAAACCATCATTAGCTCACAATTCTTAATGCAGTTTGTTTATACTGTTGCATGCAATGTATAGATTGCTTCAAATTAATGGTGACGACATGACCAAAGAAGCAGCCAAAATGTAGCTCAGAAGAGAACATCTGTGCAGAGATATGGCATATTCTTGAGTGAGTTAAAATGGAAACGAAATTTATGTTTGCTCACTATACAGCTGTTGACTGCTGAATACCGAAAAATTATATCCGTCTGACCTATAAAAGTGTTTCGAAAGAAACTGATATTTTGTGATTGGGCGTCCAGTACTTGTGCCGTTATTTTCTTCAGGGCACAACCTATGCAACTATTTAGGGATGTGGCTTGTACGTTTTACTCAAATTTAATCAATATCGTTAGAACCGTCTTCGAGAAAACCGACATTTTGTGTTTTGGAACCCATCTGAGGGGTTCCTTTTTTGGATGGGGGATCTGGACTGTTCGGTTGCACCTGAAACTGAATTAGATGAACAAACTCCTGAGTATCGAATACGCCTAAAATCCATCCAACCGTTCAGGACCCAGCGAGGGCACATCAATCCGTATATACAGACAGCAAGCATTCGAAACCCCCACTTTTTAGAAAACACGAGGAGGGGGCTGAGAACGTGTAAATCCGTCAAAATGCCGAGATCGAGTTCTTTCACGATCACGGTTCCTTCTCATATATATACTACATGTGTAAGAACATGAAGAAAATGGCCTGTATAATGTGCCTCCCCTGGAATCGTGACGCCAAACGTGACCACTTGATTCGCCTCTGCTGTAGCGCCGCCCTGACTGCACTTGTACTAAAAAATCTGTTAAGGAAGCAGAAGCTTTGCCTTTTCTTACTAAACTGTGAGTCCTGATCATTGCTATAATTTCAAAGTATCAGTATTGATATCTGTTATCACATTCTCTAATTCTCATGGTGGAAAAGTTATGCTGGCTGGTAATTAACACTGAAGGAATCATAATTCAGGGCGTCTGATCTGTCTTATGGTACCATCGCGTGTAATGCAGAATTACACCTTATAATACTCATGGCCAACATAATTTTTAACCGCTTCAGCCCTAGTAGGCATCCCTGTAACAGGTCGTGGAGGCCCATAGGGTTGTGAGATGTTGAGTTTCCCAAATTTTCTAGACAATCGGCTCATAGATGGCGGCAAGGTTGTCAGCCCTACGCGCCGGCCGCCCTTTACCCCAAGAATATTCCTGATACTCATTTCTGTTAGGGGCTGAGTCCAGGTCCATAGTGCTGCTGGAAGCATTAGGTCAATTGAAAAATCCAATGACCTCATCGGAACTTGAACCCACGACCTTCCGGCTTGTAGCATAGTGCCTCAACCAACTACGCTACCGTGTGCCGGAAGGTGGCGGGTTCAAGTGCCGATGAGGTCATTGGATTTTTTTCAATTTACCTAATCCTTCCGGCCGCACTATGGCCCTGGGGTCGACTCAGCCTCTAACAGAAATGAGTACCGTGAATTAATTAAATAATTTTCCTGGGTAGTAAAGCGCGGCCGGCTCGTAAGGCTGACAATCTTACCGCCATCTTTGAGCCGAATGTCTAGATAATGTGGGACCCTCAACGTCTCACAACTCTATGGGCCTTCACAGCCTGTTACAGGAATAGCTTTACTTTACATTTACTTTCAGCCCTAGCAGTGAGCCTGAATTGTGAGCACAGTAAAACGGTCAATAACAACCTATAAGTTCGGTGCTTCCAACTCACAGATTCTTTTAAGATAGCTGTAACACTACAGACTACTATGTAGACTGACTTAATACTCAATAACTCGGCATTTCAATGATTTTCTTATTTTTCAAATACACTTTTATTATCCTAAGTAGTTTCGACTGAAAGATTGTCAGAGAAAGACAATGTTGTAATTGTATTTATATGAAAAAAATAAATGTATAGAGAGATTTTGAACCTAGATCCAGCAGATGGCTTGTGGACCACAGACCTGGCACTGAATTAGTTCATACGTTTTACATATTTTATGCCATGATTGATAAAGTATGCCATCTTTCGTTGCTTTTCTTATAAGAGATCTTTAACGGTCTTAACTCCTTGGAAAACAAACCCTTCTTCAGAAGGTCGCAGTTACTCAGCAAGTCGAGAAATGTACTGCCTCTTATGAAACTTTTAGTTTCATTACCATGTACACAACGGCATACCACAAATCCTATCTTGAGCCACCTGAATCCAGGAAGGCACGGAAACACTTTCAGTGGCAGTTATTCGTTCTTAAATTTACCGTAGATATGTTTGATACCTTGAAGCACTTCAATACCAATGTATAAATGTCTTCCATAGGGCATACTTGGTTCATCACAATTTTAAACCCTAGTTAGCATAACAATCAGGGATGAAAATGGCTTTTTCAGATCTAGGTGTCTGCTCCAGATAAGTAGTAGATGCCGAGCGTGTCACCAACACTTATTGAAAGGAACTTATTAGACTGTAGACCCAAAAATTCGTTCCTGCGTGTTGGAAATAGTCTTGTTAAAGTGAAGTGTTGTGGAACTAAGTAAAAGTCGTCCATCGGCGTCTACCCCCATTTCCAGCCCTGATCACAAGCATTAGCTCAATAAATTATATCATTTTTGCAAGCTCTAGAAGCTTCGAAACATTATTTCATATGATTCTGCGGCAAGAATTGTCAGTATTTTCCAGCTGAGTGAAAACGTTCTGTTACGTTCAGCATGTTCTGTGTTACAGTTATAAAATTCCGTTAGCATCCCTGTCTCCTAGACAAGGACAATAAAAGATTCTTGTGTATTATCTTCAAGCCTCTAAATGAGAAGTGTTATTAATTTTCATAGCTTTGTAGGCACTCTCTATCCGCAAAAGTTGCCACTAACTTCTCCGACAAGCGGCAGTCGTTCGGTCGGTATAGTTCGCCTGCGGACTAGAGGCCACGGAGTATTTTTTGTAGGCAAATTTCTTTCTCCACCTTTTGGGTCTTATTGTAACTGTGGTTATTTTCAAGATTTCCCAAATTTTTCTACAGTACATCTCTTGAAGATTAGAATTCGACTTCCTTCTCTAATATTTCCTTGCAATGGATATACATAGCCCGCGAATTTTCTATAACAATTGTCCGTCAGTTGTACATTCAAAATTATTTAAAGCTGTTTCTTTCACAAAGAAAAACATTTGTTGCTCTTGTTTGATTTCTTCCGTGTAAAAATATTTTTCCAAGTATGACATAAAATTTTAAGCTTCATGAAGTTACTGTACAACAGCCCAGAACAGTTTTGTATCTTCCGTTTTTGCAGTATTAAATTTCTTTAACATTATTTTTGTGTGAGTAATGCATTTCCCTTGTGTTCTATATAACAAACAAAAAACAAACTCTGTGATTTTAGTCCGCAAGCGAACTATACCGGCCGAGCGACCGCCGCTTGTCGGCGAAGTTTAGTGGCAACTTTTGCGGATAGAAGGTGCCGCGTGGTCAGAGCAACGAATCCCCACGGCTGTTAATTTCGGTTTTCTAGACTGGAGCCCCTACTTCCTTAAAATAACTCCTCAATTGTCATCACGAGGCTGAGCGGACCCCGTTCCAGACCCACTACTTCTCAGAAAAAATGTGGTAGTGCCGGGAATCGAACCCGGACCTCTGGATCTGTAACCCGGAACGCTGAGCACTAGACCACAGAGGTAGTCTTGTATTCTCTATAAGAATAATAAAATCCCACTAGTTTTGGATGCACCTCAGGTAACTGCACCGCTCTCATAATGGGAGGAGACCTGTTCGGCTGGTTGCAGAATGTTTCAAGATTCCGTTAAGCTCGACGATACGTAGGTGACAACCATAATATTGCGTTCCCTTCAGTCTTTAGCAGGTGGTTATGATAAAATTCCGTTATATTCTGTTTTCTAGGCAAGGGTAGAATAAATATTAGTTCATTGACTTCTCAGCGAGAGCAATACGTTTAATTTACTCTATTAATTTTCGTGTGAGAATAATATAAAGTCTGGTAACACATTCGGGTCATAATATTTCATTTGCTTTCTTTTTGAAATTGTTCTAAGAAATTGAAAATATGCATTTTTCTAAACGCGGTTCTTTCAAGTTTGATAGTAAAAAAGGTAAAGGTATCCCCGTAACCGGCCGTGAAGGTCAATGGGGACGTGAGACGTTGAGGCTCCCACATCTTCTAGACAGTCGGCTAACAGATGGCGGTAAGGTTGTCAGCTTTACGCGCCGGCCATCCTTTACCCCCCCAGGGAGATTCCTGGTACTCATTTGTGTTAGAGGCTGAGTCGACCCCAGGACCATAATACGGATGGAAGGATTAGGTAAACTGAAAGAAATCAACCTTGGGACTCGAACCCGCGACCTTCCGACTTGTAGCATAGTGCCTCAACCAATTTCGCTGCCACGTACCCCAGTTTGATAATTAAAATTCTAAATAAATTTATACTCAAAAGGAAAGAAATGAATAATGGGCAAAAGAAAATAAATGAAGAGCTATGGGCAGGTTTAATACATTTCTTGGACAGTGTGCATAAAATAATCGCATAAAACATAAGGAACTCGTTTCGGCCCGTTTGTTGTTTGTTCAAAATTTCTCAATGATTTTACAGGAAAATTTGGAAATGGTCGTCTCTACAAAAATTTGGTGGGGGAATTTCATTTTGATCCATAGGTCTATTGGTTGAACTTATACCCCCTCCGTGGCGGCTTTGAAATCAAATTTTACGAAAGTTCTCAAAAACGGCTATCATAAAGAATATTGTAGGCCTACATTGCAAAATATAAATATTATTAAGACATATAACATTTACTGCCACCTTTTTCACTGTTATTCAGATTCGGTGTAAAACCGACGAAAAATGAAGGATAACTTATATTCATGATTACGTACGTTATCAGCACACCTGCACGTACGTACGTATATAGCTCTGCATTCGCAATTTGAGAGCTCAAATTGGCCTTAAGACTTCTGTGCAACCTGGAGATGAAGTATAAATATCTTTACATAACCTTCAAAATATAAAATCCAATGTTTCCCGCTATATAACCTATTCTGATTAGTAAGGACTAAAACGTTTAAAGAAATTAGAAACAAACAATTCCTTTGTCAAGCTCTGTCAACACATTTACGTCCGTAATACATGTTCAGTAAACCTCTATAAACAGAACAGAATTCACATGGGAACTCTTAACAAAATAAGGCCTATACTTCGCACACTTAACATCTGCTTCGTGGACACTGAGCTTTTTTATGTATTGGATGTCTATGTTGTATTTGTTTGCATCTCCATATCACTGGCAAGTTTTCTGTTGTGAGAGAAAGCAGGTTAATAAATGTGAGATTTTAGGTTCTCACGGCGATGAATATGAAGAGAATGTGACACCGTGTAGTCTGGTAACCTACCAGACTACACTGTTTCACATCACAGAAGATAATACTCTTCAAATTAACAATTGACCTTAAGATGAGCTCAGTCTGTTTAATTGTGTAAAACCAGCGGAAAATCGTGTATTGGATATAAAATATATCTGCAACAGTTTTCTGTCCGAGGTTTAACGACGTACGCTCGAGATGACCGCAAGAAACGCATGTAGGACTTCATGCAAGGTGTTCGTTATCGTTGCCCCATTTTAACAAAAATTGTACTTTGAATTCCACAATGCGGCATTTCTTTTATGAAAATCCCTTAAGTACGTGTTTCTCAAGTTGTCTCATGAATACAGATGAGGGATGCAAACGCTCCTAAAGACGGCTTTGACGTGTTTCTATTAAGAGTTGACTCCAATAATATTAGAATTTTTGCACATTTGGTTTCTCAAATTGAAACGGAAGAAAGGGAGATAAACGGAGTCTTTATGCTTACATTTCATTCACACGAAGTCAAGTTTAAAATCACAATTCTTGTTTCGTCAGGCCACGGAGATTGGCGTGTAGTCATACAATTCGTGATCTAACTTGACATTTATCGCCGGCACAGGATGCATACGAGAATATAGTAGGCCTAACGACGGTAACACGCTGACATGCAACTTCAGCTTTGTATAATTTAACAGAATTAGCTCAACAGACAAAATAAAGTTACCGTAGTACCTCAGTGCCATGACTTCGATGCATAGCTCCTTGGATTCTTAACATCGGCCTTAGAAGAAGGTGAGTAGTCAGCTTGGATCTCCGGCTGTATTTACTCTCGGGAAAATGGTTCCTCGCATTCATCGGGAGGAACGTTGGAGGGTTCCAGAACCGTTCTGGACGTGGTGGCCAAAAAGAAAAGAAGTAACTCCTCTGCTGGGAGTCGAACGCTGACTGTCCTGTCCTTAACCCGCTACTTTACTGGCTGAGATGTCACTGCTCCTTTGCTTACAATATTGTCAGACGTTATTCATCCATTTAGGTAATGTCAGAAAGTCCTTCACTTGCGTAACGGGTGCCACATCGCTATAGGCTTCCTCAGTGAAGAGAGCATTTGGTTCCAGTGTGACAGAGCCTTCCCTGATGCCTGAGAGCCGACTATGACATGGCCTATAGAGTAAGCTCTGGGCTCCCCCGTGTTCTCGGCCACTGTCATCCTCAGCTGGATTGTCTGAAAGTAAAATATCACGCTTAATTGTCTGCATCATCATTTCTCCAGGATGTGAAGGAGAAGAATTTCTGGACAAAATATTTAAGCATATCGATGCAGAATAGTTATTGGGAAGATATCTGATGCAGGAACAAAGTGCATTGGCAGAAAATAGAAATATACGAGGGTAAGTCAATAAGGAAGTTACAGTAGAACTTAAACAAATAAGAGTATTTATTTGAAAAATGCTTTTATTTCTCGATATAATCTCCCTGTACATTGAGGCATTTGTCCCATCGTTTCACAAGCCCCTGAAAACCAGCAGCATAAAATTCTTTGGGCTGCTGTCGGAACCAGGCGGTGACTTCCCTTTGTACAGCTTCTTCGTCGGGAAAATGTTCAGGGTCGAACAAATGGAAGTCGTTTGGAGCAAGATCGGAGCTATACGGAGGATGCTCGGGGACTTCCCACTTGAAATTACGCAGTGTCTCATTTGTTTTGTTGGCAGTATGGGGACGCGCGTTGTCATGCAAGAGCAACACGCCTTTGGTGAGGAGTCCTGGTCGCTTCCATTGAATGGCCTTACGATGTTTCCTGAATATGTTACAGTAGGAGTCCGCATTTACGGTTTGTCCTTGAGGCTGGAATGCGGTGAGTGGTGTGGCTTCGTGATCCCAGAAGACTGAGCATCACTTTCCTGGAGGATGGTGTCACCTTAAACTTTTTTTGGCAGGCAACGCAGGATGTTTCCACTGCATTGATACACGCTTTGTCTCAGGCTGGTATTGGTGAACCCAAGAATCATCACCTGTGACAATTCGGGCTAGCATATCGTGTCCTTCATCGTGGTAGCGATTGAGATGCTGTAATGCCAGACCCATTCTTTGCATTTTGTGTTGTGGGGTCAGCATGCGCGGCACCCATTGTGCACAGACTTTGTGAAAACCTAACCTGTCATGCATTATGCCGTGTGAACAACCAATAACAGTGGCTATAGGGTTTATAGTTATCCATCTGTCTGCTCGGATTAAGCCTTCAACCCGTTGCACATTCGCCTCTGTGGCAATCACCGTTGGCCGGCAGACGCGGTGTTCGTCTTCGATACGTGTCCGTCCTTCAGAGAATTTCTGCACCCAATTGTAAACAGCTTGACGTGACAGGCACTTCTCACCGTAGATGGGAAGCATTTCTTTATGAATATTCTTTGATTCCGTACCTTTTGACCATAAAAATCGCATAACGGAGCGCTGTTCGAGGGTTGTACACTCACTCAGAGGAGCCGCCATGTTGCAACTGCTGTTTCGCTTTTGTAAACATCGATTATCTCGTGTCGAATGTCATCAGTTGCCACAGGACTAGTGGCGATAGCCTCAAGTGCCTCATTCAAACATGTAGTACCCCACATTAATTTGTAACTTACCTATTGACTCACCTACGCAATTAAATGGAAATGGAAATGGGAGAGGGTGGTAAGAAAGCACGAGAGTGAAGTATGAATAAATTTACAAGACTAATTGGTAAAGGTAAAAGCTAAGTTGATTAAGCACTACGCCATGAAGGCGTATGGGGGAGTGGATGCATAGATCCAGATTTTCTTGACCTAGGCACTAGATGGAGTTGAGTGGTCAGTTTCACGCCCCTGCCGCTTTACTCCCGAGAAAGAGCCCACGGTATCCACTGGATAGGAGGCTGGGTGGGCCCCAGAGCCCGTATGGATGACGTAGAGAAAAGAAAATTCTTGACCCCACTGGGACTCGAACTCCGACCCTTAGGTCGTCCAGCCCGTAGCCAGTCGCTATACCGAATACGCTATCAAATGGTAGGTTTGGTAATATAAAATGTATAATAACAAAAAGTTCTCGGAAGAACTCATCGCATACTTTGCTGTCACTGTAATTGGAGTATCTGATACAAGTGAAAAGAATACTTTAACATGTACGCGTAATTTAGTCAAAAAACGTTACAATTAGGGAGGCCTCAATGTTGGTATTATTGACGAGAGTGATTTATGAAGTACACCATTGAGATGGACTTACTAAGTCTCATTAAGAGTGGTTCTGGCATTCAGATAATAAATGGTTATTACATCGACAGTCCGAGAGGCTGCAGTGTTTGGTATTACTAACACGAAGGATTTATGCCGTTGAGATTATCTCAGATGACATGACACATACATTGCAACTTTCATGAAAATCGGTTAAGGCATTCGAATATTATTAAGGGTATTCAACAATTTTAGAGGCTATAGTGTTGGTATTACTGATGAGAGGCATTTATGGTGTAGGCAATTGAGATGGCATAATGTGGCATGACACACATATATATATATGTGCCAAGTTTCACCAAAATTGATACAGGCGTTCAAGCAATAGTAAGATTTTGTGTCGGAAATTTTAGAGGCTGCAAAGTTTCTATTACAGATGAGACATTTATGATCGTACGTCGTTAAGATGGCTTCATGTGGCGTTCCATGAATATCGGTAGAGGCGTTTGAGCAGTGTTAAGGTTTTGCCTCAGAAATTTGAAGGGCTCTAATGTTGGTATTACATATGGGAAGGATTTATGAATTGAGCCGTTGAAATTGGCTTCGGGTGGCATGATATACGTACCAAGTTCCGTGACAGCATTTAAGTAACATACGGTTATTACCGAAACAATTTGAGAGGCTGTAATGCTTGTATTACTAATCGAAGGAATCTGTTAAGTGGCCGCTGAGATGGCTTATATAGTGTGATATACATACAGAGTTTCATGGAGATTGGTACAGGCGTGAGAGCAATATTGAGGTTCTGCCTCAGAGAGGCTATAATGTTGGTAATACTGATGGAAGGGATTTATGAATTATGCCGCTGAGATGGGCTCAGGTGCCAGATATATGTACCAAGTTTCATAAAGATTGGTTTGGGCACTCAGAAGTTGCAACGGATGACACACAGACAACAAGGTGATCTCATAAGCTTAAATATTTTTTTAAATAAGGAACGTAGGCTAAAAACGTACGTGGGATAGCTGCCTTAAGAGACCACGGAAGAGAAGACGCTACTAAGAACGGGTAGGCATACCCGAAAACCGTACAAAAACCTGCACGAATTTCTCTGCTCTAATGAAATATTCATTGAATGCCCGTTCTCTTCTTCCGCAAACTGCTGAAATACTAAGAGTAAATTTTGAGTCAAGGAGTGCTATTCGTATAAATATCACTGTCTGATTTGTTACTATTTTACGACTCCACAACGAACAGCTCTAAGATAGATTTTAAAATTATTGTAGTGTGTACAGCCGTTGCTATGCAATGACTTCGACATAGGCGAATAAACAACGACCGTTTCTAGGCAAAGATCAGTAAATATATTCCCGTGCCAATGAATACCCACGCAACAATAGAGTTACTGCTGGAAACAATATTTTCTACTCGGTCCATGCAAAAGGATTATAAGGAAGACAATTTGGGCGACCCTGTCAGTTGGGAGATGAATTCTGCAAGGAAGTCTGAGAAGAGATGGCGCTCTACAGTGGCGTGCCGTGCATGGAAGCAAGGGAAGCATTGTTTCAGTAGTTAAGAAACGAAAAGAAAAGCAGTCGTATGTAAATAATTCATTGTTATTTAGCGCGTGTTCCTGCTCAAGGCCACATTCCTCCTCCTCCTCCACCCTTACCCTGCTTGGTGGGACGGACCAAGTTTCCATTCGTTAATCTTCGCAAGAATTCGTCTCATCCGAAGTGACCATGGGAAGAAAATTTCGGTTTGCTGGCTAGACCAGCGAGGGAATGTGTTCTTTCGATGGTTATGTTAAAATTAACTGTTTATATGTGATTTCAGTCTTGTTGGGTGTTATAGGTAACATTAAGTTTTATTAAAATATTTTAAGTGCATATTTATATGGCGTAAGTTTGAATTTGTGATTGTATTTTGACGCATCAGAAAGAAGCTATCCGCGTTTAAGGGAAGAAAGTCTGATATTGTGGTACGAGGGGCAGGGGCGTGATTAGACTACACGCACAAGTAACAGCTAAAATGAATGCTGGCAGACAAGGCGACTGCGACTGTGCAATCGAAAGCCTTTTAAAACGGGAGTTTAATAGCAGGGACTTTTCTGAAAAGAAAATAATTATAGAAAGATGACGACCGACATAAGAGTTACCAGAACTTAAGCACAAACCAAATTATGTGTGAGGAAATTTAATTTCGAAGAGTATTCTAAAACAGAGTGGCTACCCGGTTGCCGTAATATAGGGAAATTGTTTTGTTGGCCATGCCTATTGTTTCTCAATGGAAAAAAACATATGGAACAAGACTGGATTTGGTGATATCAACAACCTTCATCAAGTATTGAAACGACATGAGAACTCTCAGACTCACATTATTTCAACAGTGCAACTTCTTATGTTCGGGAAATCTCGAATTGACTGTCCTCTTGACAATCAAAAGCGCCTGACGATACTACAGCAGAATGAAAATGTAAAAGAAAATGAAGAAATAATGAAAAGCTTGATTGATATCATCTGCCATTTAGGAAAGTGGCAACTTGCCCTCCGTGGTCATGACGAAAGCGTGGATTCTATCGACCGAGGTAATTATGTGGAATTAGTTCACTTATTAAGGAAATATGATCATAAACTCAATGTTCACCTTGAGAACAGTACAGTATTTACAGGTTTATCGAACAGAATACAAAACGACCTTATTGACTCAATAAGTGACATAAATTTTGGTGAGTTGATTGCTATCAGTTTGTTTATTAGTTACCTCTGTTTCCCTTGACAAAAATAGTACCGCACGCCACTGGCGCTATAATTAAGTGAAATTACAGTTGTGGAGTGTTTAACAACGGGCAACGTCGCGACCACAGGAGATGAAAATTCTCCATTGTTAAGATTTGGTACCAAGCAACGAGTAGTGAAGAAATTGCAGGGTGGAGAAAACTTAGCGTGTAGTGATTTGTAACGTGAGGAAACAGCGATAGTGCCGTAATTACTGTGTAGTTCCGAGTGGCGTGTATAAATGGTCAATAAATCAATTC